AACAAATAAAAAAATACGACAGCTGGAAGGTCATTATGTCTGTATTTCGGGATGTACGTGGAATTGAAAAAGACAACTGATCAGATCATCAATAGTTACAAGGCATAATTCCTGAATTTGAAGGAGGAAATCGCGAAACTCCGACCCTATACGAAAAAAAAGTCTTCTTTCATCAAGACAATGTGCTTTGTGAAATATCGTTGGCTATCATGGCTAAATTGTACGAAATACATTTGGAATTGTTTTCGTACCCGGCGTATTCGCCAGATTTGTTCACCATCCAAACTATTTGTACACACACCTAAAGAAAAGTTTCAAGGAAAGTACTGAGGCATATTTTAAGGCTAAAAATTACCTAATCCTTCTAAAAGAGAGGTATCTAAATGTTAAAGAAGCGCTGGAATGACTGTATTACAGTTTAAGGAGACTAACTTGATAAATTAATTAGATTTTTGCAAAAATGTTAAATGGCACATGTGAAGAAATTCTACAAACACTTTGGACGTACCACCTATTGGGGGTAGCACAATTTGTTCTAACAATTCATTGCATGACCTAAAATTTATGGCGAAACACAACATCTACTTTTTAGAAATAGCATTCAGTGACCTTTTCTTCATTTCTCTATTAACTCAAAAAGACACTCAAAGGACAATAGTTAAGATATAAGCGAAATATTGGAGTAAGCATAGATCAATGCATTCCAATTATATTTCACAAAATGGAAACAGTGATGGCACAAGTGCATAAAACAAAATGAGGTTACTTCATAGGATATGGATTGGAAAATACTTCCTAAAAAATTGTAAAATTAACACCTGGTACTCGTTGTTAAACTGTGAATAAACTTTAGTACTGCTTATATTTTTTATTTAACTCTTATTATTATTATTATTTAAAAAATATTTAGAATAATTACTACTGTTAGCTTTAAATGAAACAAATGCCAACAATTAAGTAAACAAAACTAGAGGATCTGAGAGATAGTCTGCATGGAAGCCACATAACAATATTTGATAAATTATATACGTAACAGTTGGTACTATTATCTCCATATAAGGAAACTAAAATAAGAAATAAATTATATTAAACAAAATTAATTTCTAGTGATATATAACAATTTAACTCAGTATTAGCTGTAACTTAAAATGTGTTCGATCTTATAGCACCCCTATACTAGGGTTACTAGGTTAAAAAACTTTCTTTTTGCGAAGCATAACATTTTCAGTATATAATATGACCGATTTTATTTCACATTCAAATAGAGGAGTATATCTTAAGTTGGGTTTGGCTATACCGGTGATCCTAACGATTCCCCTAGGTGTATTATACATAAACTCAGGTTTAAAAACAACGTTGAATCTTTTGCGAAGCCGTAAATGCAAGTATATGTTACAGGTATATGCTAAAGGAAATAATATTGAAAGTACCTACATACCAATTGGAATCATTCTGTGTATAGTATAAAATTAAATTTTTGTGTGAAACACATTAATTGTTTTACAATTTAACATAAAACAATAAATAAATGTAGTTATTTAAATAACTGTTTTTGTTGCATATTTAATAAGTGCAATTTACGCTGTTTTAAATTAGATTTAATTTTAATAATTAAATGTCCAATAATGCGACTTAATTCTAAGCGTTTACATTGTAAATCACTTTTTTTCGTTCTCATTTTAAAAACAATAAATTTACAATTTAAAAAATGTGCTTTTTTTTCGTTTTTACCAGAAAACTAAGCACATTTCGTGCCACAATTTTCACCGAAAGATTATTAAAACGCATTTGATGCTTAAAATCCCAAATGCACAAATCCACAAAATTTATGGCCAAAAACAATTCAACAAAATGCAAAGGAGAATTTTGCTCGTAAAAATTGAAAAAAGAAAAAGAAAATATTGCATAAAATAATTAAAAATAAATAAAATAAAAAATAAGATAAGATAAAATAAAATAAAATAAAAATAAAATGCGCGAATCAAGAGATGTGCAAATAGCGGCAGCATTAAAATGAACTCTTAGCGGATTTGTATGATTAAATTTTTTTAATTGCGCCCAAAAACAGGCAACAGTGATAAATATTTTTAAAAGCTACCTAGGCGCGATACATAGACCAGCGGCATTGGCCAAAGCTGGCCAACAAACCATGCAATATTTTCTTGGACCATTTAACATATACGTTCGGCTATAAAACACACTAGCACACATACCCGCACACAAGTGTTTGAAAATCATAAGCGATTTAAAGTATAAGTGCTTGCATGCGCTTATGAGTGTTTATATGTATATGTGTGTGCTTTTATTGTTTTAGGTGAACTTTGTTGTTTTTGTACTTTTGTTGCTTTTGTTACTGTAGAATAATAGTTATTGTTGGTGTTGTAACACGCTTAGTGCTACTATTAACGTTATTGTTGTAGTTGGTACGGCGTTTTTGTTGCCATTTCCAAATATTGTTGGCTATCATTGCTGCTGTTGTTGTATGTTATGTTATATGGTATGTGCAAACTCTGTGTTTGCAATGTTTGTTGTTGTTGTTGTTGTTATTATTATTATTGTTGTTGTAACGTTGAACGGTGCATTTTATCATTACTTTTAATTTTTTTGCTGGATTTACTTTGTTAAAACCAAAGTTTTCGTGGACATTTTCATTTTAGTAGTTTTTTATGGATTCAATGTTGCGCTCTTTGTTGTTGTAAGGGCTATCATTCATTTTGCATATAATTTATATCGTTACCAATTTTTTTTATTTTTTTACTTTTTTTTACTGCATAAAAAACAATTACGATTTTTTATGACCGCTTCGGTTGTTGCACTCAATTTGGCACAGAAATTGAGTGCCTATAACGATTTTCTACTTCCGCAGAATTTTATTAATAAAAAAATATTTCATGTTTTTATAATTTTTATGAATTTAATTGAATGTCGAGCGGATGGACTTTTTTTTTAGTGTTTTAATCATTTTAATGCGCTGATGAAAGCGTTTCTATCATTTTTATCATGTGTTCAATTAGCATCAAAAAAATATGTTATGTTAACCTAAAGCTTCAGAGGAAACCATACCTATAACATATTTTTAAAACTTTAAGAATTTCTTTACAGTTTTTAGTACATTGAATAGTCATTGACTAAAACTTAGACAAATAGATAGAAAAATAGAAAGATAGATGAATAACAAAAAACCGCAGTTTTCCAGTTTTCAAGTACAAACATTAAACAGATCTTTTATGTTCTATAATTAACTTAAAACGAAAAGATAACACTCCACTCGATGAACGAATTAGTCAAGAATTTCTACCTCACAACTTTAGGCTTACAGTTTTCTAGTACAAATCTTGAACAGAACTTTATTACTATAATAAATCTTAAGTGAATATATAACACTTTACACGATGGTTGTTGTCACTAATTAAATAAAAATAAGTGACAATAAAACCTGGAACTTGAGCATTGAAAGTTTGTGCAGCCTTGGCTTCTTGTGGATAAACACGATTAGTCATCGCTTCTAATTTGACAGGCACTAGTTCTAAGCCTGGCACTTGCAGTCCAAACAAATTATATACGGACTATAAACTAATTAAATAAAATTCGATTATTCCCAAAGACCACTGATGAAGAGTACTTGGCAATACTCGAAACAGCGTTGTATGGTCAGCCAAATTTCAATAAAATTAAAAATAAATTTTTGTGTTTGTACTTTATTTCTTTCTTTGTTATTCGAAAACCCTTCTAAAAAATTTAATAAAGCTTCTTTGTCCCTATACAAAGTAAGTCTAGCTTAACAGCAACACTAATACTTTATTCTCATATTTAATTTTATTATTGAAGTTTTATTTTCATTTTTGTCCTAACATGATTAGTTTTTTTGAAATTCTCTCAGCGCGAACTTTAGCGATTTTAAACTAGAGTTTCTTATTATTATAAGTTATAGCATAATCAGTTAACCGGAATGCACCACTCAAGATTGATTTGATGGTAATTGCATCGCACCATAATTGTCCACAAAAAATATCGAAGATATTTTATTCTCAATATAGATTGATGTTTGGCAATCTGAAAACAGAGATTCAAACTGTTAATATCTGGATCTGGAATTTCTTCAAGCGTATATAGTGAAACCTACAATTATTTATATTAATGCAGATTGTCAAGCAGCAATCTGTATATATCCTGTATAATCTCTTTGAGTTTTTTGCGAATAAACAGTAAAACAAACTTTCAAATCAAGTAACATTTTAAAATTGGAAACAATAATTTTTTTTTAAGCCAATAACCAAATAGAACTACCTGTGTATCTATAGAAGCATTTGCTTTTAAAAAAAAGGGTCATTTTTTCAAATCAAATAGTCGGAAATATGAAATTTTTCCAGAGGTAACGTTTCAGGTAAGATACATGCATAAGTTCTATTCACGCAGCCAATGACATCATCTAATTATGAATTCCTTTAAAAGATGCACGTATCTATCCGAATTCTGTTAATGTCTTTGATATTGGTTGGGACGCAAGATAGTTTATACTCGTATATCGCCTTCTGTAACTAGATAATTCTACCCATATTCGTAACTATTCACTAAGTTTCCGAAGTTTCAATAATGTCTTTACAAATGTTCGGTATACAAGAGAGTTTATATATCTATGTACCCTTCTGTAACTAGACAGACCAATATTTGTCACTCTCCATTAAGCCATCTTCTTTATGACAAAAGTTCCAGTGAACTCAAAAATACATTATTCAAATACATTATCATTTAAAATTTCAAAAGTCGTTTCAGAATACTACAAAGAAACGTCAGAAAGGTTCGTATGTTGTTATTGCTTTTTATTTAGAGATGTCTACATAATCCAGTAATCAATTTAAAGTCATATCTCAACCGTTATTTGTAGATTTTTCTTGTATTTTCCATTAAAATTATTTTACAGTATCGGATTGTTGTGCAAACAATCAGAGTGTGTGACATTCCGTTCAGTTTATCGATTTTCATGTTCTTTTGTTTTGCAGGAGTCATCGAACATTGCTAATATATCATAATTTGCGTGCACCTTTATTACTACTACTCCTGACTATCAACACATTAGAACTAGCCCGTGCCTTGTTATCTGAGCCAGCAGTTGGTCGCAATGGCGGAATTATAAATAGATACGATGGAATTTCAGGTACTAACAAAGAACCTGTCATAAACGAAGTACAGCAACGGCATCAACAACAGGAGCAAGTGGGGAATAATGAAATAGAAACTGATCGTATTGTAGTTGTTATCGGCGTATCAATGCTCTGGAATGCACTGTGTGCCATTTTACTAACCATTCTTTTAATTGTATTCCATCGGATTGTTGAGTTGAAGAAAAAAGTTGGTAAGTAACCACACAAACAAATTTTAATTAATCACCTTAATTAGCAAATTTAAGATATCTTACGAGAGATACCGAGAGAAAATTACAGGTTCCATAATAATTATTAATATTTTTTTTCAGAATTTCTCTACGTCAGCGTAGGTGTGGAAATTCTCGTATTTGCTTTTCGTATTTATGAACTCGCCGAAATCGTCTATGATCAGAACATCTACGAACTGGAATCTTGTTTGCAAGCCATGACAGCAATCTGCTTACTATCGGTGGGCATGGCGGACGGTTTCTCCATTTACAAAGAGGTAAACGCGAATATACATTTTTATGAGTTTCTTTTACAAACATGCATTAAATTTTAATAGATATAAACACAACAAGTAGTTTGTTTGTATTTATTTTTCATTAGAAATGGAGTCAGAAATAATTGCACTCACATTTACGCTTAACTAAATCGCATTATTTGTTTTTGTAATTGTTGGAGAATATTTGAAAAATGATTAGTGTAACTTTGCCATAAACAAGGATGGAGTACGTTGTGAAATTTATTTACATATATCATTAACATGACGATACAGTTTGAGATATATTCTATCTAACCAAGCCTCGTACTCATATGAAATAGCCTCATGTTACTTTTCGAAGCTGAAAGGATGAAGGTTTTTAGATTCGATTGCAGTTATAAGAAAAGTAGAACTTGAAGGTCTTGCCTAAATCAAACAATATCATGGCTAAAATGCACTCAGTAATAATTTCTTTAAAGGCGCCAACATATATTTTCTTCTTCTTAGACTGCCTACTCACTTTGAGTGTCAGTGGTCGCATTTATTGACAATAAGTTTTGTTTTTTTTTTTTGTGTACATAATTTCAATTTAAATTTTTAACACTACAATTTTTCTTTAATAATACTTATAATTAATCTTAACTGGTAACATTTAACTACATCATTTTAAACTAAACTAAATTACAATCTATACAGAATTCAGAAAGCGTTTCATTATATGTTGTTTACTATCGCTGTGTAAAGTACTCTCGACCGCGCAGAGTGTATCAGTTCGCCAATAGTTCGAAGTCCTGTCTAGGTGCGGATATTCCTTAACCATGAGAGTTCTTTCCGCCCAACGCCTCTGCGACCTTATATACGGCCTTGAAGTATAAGTTGCAGTACTTCATATTTGGGTGCACTTATTATGTGTCCCAAGTATGCTACTTTCCTTTTTTTCATGGTTTTAAGCAGTTCTCTTTCTTGCTGCATTCTTCTGAGTACTTCTTTGTTGGTAACTCTATCAGTCCAAGGTATTTTCAATAGACGGCGATAACACTACATTTTGAAAGCCTCTAACTTAATCATAGTTTCGGCGATTACTTCATCATTTGAGCCAAATCTCTTACCACGGAGCATCTTTTTGATGTCTGCGAAGAGCCAGTAGTCGCTGGGGGCTGGAGAATAGATCTGGAGAATACGGTAGATGCGTTTTAATCGACTTGTGACACGGTGCATTGTCTTGGTGGAACAAAACTGTTTTCTTCGCCATATGAGGCCGTTTCTTTGCGATTTCGTCTTTCAAACGCTCCAATAACGCTATATAATAGTCGCTGTTGATGGTCTTCCCCTTCTGGAGATAGTCGATGAATATTATTCCATGCGCATCCCAAAATACAGACGCCATAACCTTGCCAGCCAACTGCTGCGTCTTTGGTCGCTTTGGGTGGCTTTCACCGGCTGCATGCCACTCAGCAGACTGCCGAAAACTCAAAAGTAGCGTCCTTTAAAGCACTGTAACTTGTAAACAAATGGTCGGATTAACATATGATTTTGACAGTAAAAAGGTGACACTAAAAAGGTTGCCACTTTCGAAAAAAAATATTTATTTAGTATTAGTGCCGCCATCTATGTGTCAGTCACACACATTATTGAACGAAGTGTTATTTTTTAAAGATTTCATTGTCTTTAAGATCTCTGATTTGCTTATCTTTGGTCCAGACATACTTGTTAAGTTTCTTATATTATGTATTGGTTCTCTTCTGCTATCACAAAACTGCTGTTCAATATATTGCTTCCACATAAGTGAAAGTTCAGGCGCTGAGCTTATTATTCTGTTCTGCTTGTCTATCATGTATGAAGCATGATATTTGCGGTATACGCCACTTGCTTCTTTGAGTTTTTTATGAACATTAAAATCGTCATGAGCTCTTTGGAGTTTTTCTATCTCACAACATTCGTTATTAAACCATGATATTTTAGCCTGCCGTATTTTAGTTTTTATAATACTATGTAAGCGATTGTAGTCTTGTCGGTTTTTATTCCTAAACCTTCTTCCTTGATTCATTAGATCAAATATTTTTTCAGTCATCCACGGGTTTTTGGGTTTATATTTCAATTTTTCTGTGGTAACCTCTTTTATCGTCATGACTGCTTGATTCCAACTAGTGTTTGTGTATTGGACATCAGATTCATTACCTTGTATAATTTGTACACTTCTATTAATTTCCGATGATAATTCGTTTCGTATGTTTTCATCTTTAAGATTTTTTAGATTCAATCGATTAAATACATTATTTCTTCTGATTTTTGCCAGCTTGATTCTTATATGAGCAAGTAGTAAATTATGGTCAGTATTTACATCCGCTCCTGGATATGTATTTATTTTTGTAATGGACGTATTAAAACGCTGATTACCTAAAATGTAATCTATCTGACTTCCAATTATCTGAACCGAGTTGTCTTGGGGAGACTTCGAAGTATACAATCTTCGTGCAGGTAGACAGTAGCATGCGTTCATAATTTTACACTTTGTTTCTTGGTAAAATTGAACCAGATGGTCTCCGCGATCATTTCTATTACCAAGAACATATGGCCTTACTATATTTTCTGTTTTCTGATTGCCAACTTTTGAATTAAAATCTCCTATAATCATAGTCATTTCTTGTGATTTCACTAAGTTGGTGACTTGCAGCAATTCATTATAAAAATCTTCCATTTCTTCATCTCTTTTATCAGCGGTTGGTGCGTAAACTTGAATTACATTTAGATTGATTGGTTTAGTTTAAAATTTCAGTAACATTATTCTGTCAGAGTAAGGTACAAATTCAGTAGCTGCGTTAATCATTCTTTTCGAAATTATTATTCCCACGCCGTTTCTATGCAGTGGGGTGTTATTTTCCGAATAAAAAATCTTATATTCGTTTGATATTAATTGGCCAGAATCAGGCCGTCAAGTTTCGCTTATTCCTAAAATGTCTATTTCCATATGTTTCATTTCGTTAATGGTATTGGCCAGTTTACTTGCTTCGTATAAACTGCGCACATTCCATGTTCCAATCTTAAGTTTATGATTTGTTTTACCTCCGGGGATTCTTAGCACCCTCGTATTGCCGGAGACTGAGGGCCGTGATTCTATGTTGTCTCTCATCTTGCTCATATGGTTTTTGAAATGCGGTGTTTCTAGGGATATATATTTCGGTGGTTTCCCGTTGCCTTCCGAAGGGTTTACGTTTTCCAATCGTGTTTCAGGCGTCCCTAACATAGGGATCAAACGCTGTTTGATCCCTACTAATGATTGGTTTGTCAAAGAGGTTTTCCTTCCTCACTGATAGATAATTTTTTTCTTGTCTCACATAATTATATCGTATACGTTTTACATAGTGTGTCCAATAATGGTGTCTTCAAATGATGGTCTTATTAGTATCAATAATTATTATGCATTATTATGCAGTATTGTTTATTATGTTTAACCCTTATTTTCGTTCAGATTGATATTAATATATTTTTCGACGTTTAGTATTCGTAACATAGAACTAGATAAATCTTACTAAAAATACTACAAAAAGTTGAGAGGTTTCGAACCATAATAAACTACAACAACAAAATTTTTTAATTATTTTAATTATTGATTGAGGTTTTGGTTGATCATATAGCTGTTTTGAGTATTGTCGATACTATTAAATAATAATTATTAAATAATAATTTTAGTTAGCTGATATAGTCGTTAAAGTGCAATACAAAATGTTGTGAAATAGTAGCATCTTCAATTCATTCTAAGTATTATAGAGCCATTAATTTTCTTATTATGTTCTAGACAAGAACAGAAGAGTTGTTTATTGGTGTTTTCTCTCTTCTTGTTATCACAGATTTTGGAGTTATCACTGGATGCAACATCTAATTTCATAATTTCAGATAATGACAGGTCAAAATTTATATTTTACTCTTGTCTTCTCTATTTGCAGTTAGTAAGATACTTGTTATTTTATTTGTAGAGTTAAACATATAAATAAGATAAGTGAGGTGAATGTACCTATAAGAATTTTTAAGTATCTAAGGATATAGCATGACACCGCATGTACTTAAAAGGTAAATTAGCTTAATACTTGAATATTATATGAATTTATATAAAAGACTATTATAATTGGTTTGATGATTTGGTGGTCAGATTACACCGATGAATTCAGGATTTGGTACAGCGAAATCAAAGAATTCTAAATAAAATTAATTTTAAATTGGCAAAACATAATATTTGACATAATGTATTTGCGCTTGGTCAAACTACTTTTAAAATAGTTATGTTTAGATTGAAGATATATAGTCAAGTACTTTAAGTGACATTGCACTTTGTTTATGTAACTAAATATTTTGAAGATATATTTGAACACAACTCCCGTTTGTAGAGAGGAATATTAAAAAAATTAATGGTCTGCCTTAATTTAATTGAATGGCTTTGATTTAATAAAAAATATTTCAAATGAATGCAAGAATTTAAAACATTGTAGTATTGTGTGTTCTCATTGGAATCACTCATACGAATATCCGTGTTATGTAAACGATTCTTACGGGTCTGCTCTAACCATACTAGAATATTGAAGATTTCCTTTAACAATTCATTCAAGTACTTCACATCTGCCTTCTCATTGTGCTGTGTATAAATGAGCTTATCGTATTGAGAGCTTACTTTAAAGAGGATCTTTGTTGGATATATTACTTCCCTTTGAAGAGCATTTTAGGTTAGAAATGTTTAAATCTATTAGAATATTCTATACTGCAATAAAATAGGCCATCATAAATAAATGATCCCTCTGATTATCGTTAAAATTTAACCGACTAATGTGTTTTGTGTAATAAAAAGTGATGGGTGTTCTGTACAAAATTGATACACTTTTATATGTACAATATACATAAATATATTATGTAGGTAAACGACTATGTTCACTGATATGAACAATAAAATTAGATTATGCGGTGGACTATGTAAACATTTTATTACCTTGAATAAAATAATTGTTGACAAGAAAAAATAATTTATAAATAAA